AGGACAGAGTATGGATGGAAGGACGGGGTATGGATGGAAGGAGTATGGATGGATAGAGTATAGATGGAAGGACAGAGTACGGATGGAAGGACGGGGTATGGATGGACGGAGTATAGATGGAAGGACGGGGTATGAATGGAAGGGGTATAGATGGATGGAGTATAGATGGAAGGGGTATGGAAGGACAGAGTATAGATGGATGGAGTATAGATGGAAGGGGTATGGAAGGACAGAGTATAGATGGAAGGACAGAGTATGGATGGAAGGACAGAGTATGGATGGAAGGACGGGGTATGGATGGAAGGGGTATGGAAGGACAGAGTATGGATGGAAGGACAGAGTATGGATGGAAGGACGGGGTATGGATGGAAGGGGTATGGAAGGACAGAGTATGGATGGAAGGACGGGGTATGGATGGATGGAGTATAGATGGAAGGACAGAGTACGGATGGAAGGACGGGGTATGGATGGACGGAGTATAGATGGAAGGAGTATGGAAGGACAGAGTATGGATGGGTGGAAGGGGTATGGAAGGACAGAGTATGGATGGACGGAGTATAGATGGAAGGACGGGGTATGGATGGGTGGAAGGGATATGGAAGGATAGAGTATGGATGGAAGGACAGAGTATGGATGGAAGGACAGAGTATGGATGGAAGGACAGAGTATGGATGGAAGGACGGGGTATGGAAGGACAGAGTATGGATGGATGGAAGGGGTATGGATGGAAGGGGTATGGATGGAAGGGGTATGGATGGAAGGGGTATGGATGGAAGGGGTATGGAAGGACAGAGTATAGATGGAAGGGGTATGGAAGGACAGAGTATAGATGGAAGGGGTATGGAAGGACAGAGTATAGATGGACAGAATATAGATGGATGGAGTATAGATGGAAGGACGGGGTATGGATGGAAGGGGTATGGAAGGACGGGGTATGAAAGGACAGAGTATGGATGGACGGAGTATAGATGGAAGGACGGGGTATGGATGGACGGAGTATAGATGGAAGGACGGGGTATGGATGGAAAGGGTATGGAAGGACAGAGTATGGGTGGAAGGGGTATGGAAGGACAGAGTATGGATGGGTGGAAGGGGTATGGAAGGACAGAGTATGGATGGACGGAGTATAGATGGAAGGACGGGATATGGATGGGTGGAAGGGATATGGAAGGACAGAGTATGGATGGAAGGACAGAGTATGGATGGAAGGACAGAGTATGGATGGAAGGACGGGGTATGGATGGAAGGACGGGGTATGGAAGTACAGACTATGGATGGATGGAAGGGGCATGGAAGGACAGAGTATGGATGGGTGGAAGGGGTATGGAAGGACAGAGTATGGATGGATGGAAGCACAGAGTATAGATGGAAGGGGTATGGAAGGACAGAGTATGGATGGATGGAGTATAGATGGAAGGATGGGGTATGGATGGAAGGGGTATGGAAGGACAGAGTATGGATGGATGGAGAAAAGATGGAAGGGGTATGGAAGGACAGAGTATAGATGGATGGAAGGGGTATGGAAGGACAGAGTATAGATGGATGGGGTATAGATGGAAGGGGTATGGAAGGACAGAGTATAGATGGAAGGGGTATGGAAGGACAGAGTATGGATGGAAGGGGTATGGAAGGACAGAGTATGGATGGAAGGGGTATAAAAGGACAGAGTATAGATGGATGGAGTATGGAAGGACAGAGTATAGATGGACAGAGTATAGATGGATGGGGTATAGATGGAAGAGGTATGGAAGGACAAAGTATAGATGGAAGGGGTATGGAAGGACAGAGTATGGATGGATGGAGTATAGATGGAAGGGGTATAGAAGGACAGAGTATGGATGGATGGAGTATGGATGGAAGGACGGGGTATGGATGGAAGGGTTATGGAAGGACAGAGTATAGATGGAAGGACAGAGTATGGATGGAAGGACGGGGTATGGATGGAAGGACGGGGTATGGATGGAAGGACGGGGTATGGAAGGACAGAGTATAGATGGAAGGACAGAGTATGGATGGAAGGACAGAGTATGGATGGAAGGACAGAGTATGGATGGAAGGACAGAGTATGGATGGAAGGACGGGGTATGGATGGAAGGGGTATGGATGGATAGAGTATAGATGGAAGGACAGAGTATGGATGGAAGGACGGGGTATGGATGGAAGGAGTATGGATGGATAGAGTATAGATGGAAGGACAGAGTACGGATGGAAGGACGGGGTATGGATGGACGGAGTATAGATGGAAGGACGGGGTATGAATGGAAGGGGTATAGATGGATGGAGTATAGATGGAAGGGGTATGGAAGGACAGAGTATAGATGGATGGAGTATAGATGGAAGGGGTATGGAAGGACAGAGTATAGATGGAAGGACAGAGTATGGATGGAAGGACAGAGTATGGATGGAAGGACGGGGTATGGATGGAAGGGGTATGGAAGGACAGAGTATGGATGGAAGGACAGAGTATGGATGGAAGGACAGGGTATGGATGGAAGGGGTATGGAAGGACAGAGTATGGATGGAAGGACGGGGTATGGATGGATGGAGTATAGATGGAAGGACAGAGTACGGATGGAAGGACGGGGTATGGATGGACGGAGTATAGATGGAAGGACAGGGTATGGATGGAAAGGGTATGGAAGGACAGAGTATAGATGGATGGAGTATAGATGGAAGGGGTATGGAAGGACAGAGTATAGATGGAAGGACAGAGTATGGATGGAAGGACGGGGTATGGATGGAAGGACGGGGTATGGATGGAAGGACGGGGTATGGAAGGACAGAGTATAGATGGAAGGACAGAGTATGGATGGAAGGACAGAGTATGGATGGAAGGACAGAGTATGGATGGAAGGACAGAGTATGGATGGAAGGACGGGGTATGGATGGAAGGGGTATGGATGGATAGAGTATAGATGGAAGGACAGAGTATGGATGGAAGGACGGGGTATGGATGGAAGGAGTATGGATGGATAGAGTATAGATGGAAGGACAGAGTACGGATGGAAGGACGGGGTATGGATGGACGGAGTATAGATGGAAGGACGGGGTATGAATGGAAGGGGTATAGATGGATGGAGTATAGATGGAAGGGGTATGGAAGGACAGAGTATAGATGGATGGAGTATAGATGGAAGGGGTATGGAAGGACAGAGTATAGATGGAAGGACAGAGTATGGATGGAAGGACAGAGTATGGATGGAAGGACGGGGTATGGATGGAAGGGGTATGGAAGGACAGAGTATGGATGGAAGGACAGAGTATGGATGGAAGGACGGGGTATGGATGGAAGGGGTATGGAAGGACAGAGTATGGATGGAAGGACGGGGTATGGATGGATGGAGTATAGATGGAAGGACAGAGTACGGATGGAAGGACGGGGTATGGATGGACGGAGTATAGATGGAAGGACAGGGTATGGATGGAAAGGGTATGGAAGGACAGAGTATAGATGGATGGAGTATAGATGGAAGGGGTATGGAAGGACAGAGTATGGATGGGTGGAAGGGGTATGGAAGGACAGAGTATGGATGGACGGAGTATAGATGGAAGGACGGGGTATGGAAGTACAGACTATGGATGGTTGGAAGGGGTATAGATGGAAGGACGGGGTATGGATGGAAGGGGTATGGAAGGATGGGGTATGGAAGGACAGAGTATGGATGGACGGAGTATAGATGGAAGGACGGGGTATGGAAGGACAGAGTATGGAAGGACAGAGTATTGATGGACGGAGTATAGATGGAAGGACGGGGTATGGAAGGACAGAGTATGGAAGGACGGAGTATAGATGGAAGGACGGGGTATGGAAGGACAGAGTATGGAAGGACGGAGTATAGATGGAAGGACGGGGTATGGAAGTACAGACTATGGATGGTTGGAAGGGGTATAGATGGAAGGACGGGGTATGGATGGAAGGGGTATGGAAGGATGGGGTATGGAAGGACAGAGTATGGATGGACGGAGTATAGATGGAAGAACGGGGTATGGAAGGACAGAGTATGGAAGGACAGAGTATTGATGGACGGAGTATAGATGGAAGGACGGGGTATGGAAGGACAGAGTATGGATGGACGGAGTATAGATGGAAGGACGGGGTATGGAAGGACAGAGTATGGAAGGACAGAGTATTGATGGACGGAGTATAGATGGAAGGACGGGGTATGGAAGGACAGAGTATGGAAGGACGGAGTATAGATGGAAGGACGGGGTATGGAAGTACAGACTATGGATGGTTGGAAGGGGTATAGATGGAAGGACGGGGTATGGATGGAAGGGGTATGGAAGGACAGAGTATTGATGGACGGAGTATAGATGGAAGGACGGGGTATGGAAGGACAGAGTATTGATGGACGGAGTATAGATGGAAGGACGGGGTATGGAAGTACAGACTATGGATGGTTGGAAGGGGTATAGATGGAAGGACGGGGTATGGATGGAAGGGGTATGGAAGGATGGGGTATGGAAGGACAGAGTATGGATGGACGGAGTATAGATGGAAGGATGGGGTATGGAAGGACAGAGTATGGAAGGACAGAGTATTGATGGACGGAGTATAGATGGAAGGACGGGGTATGGAAGGACAGACTATGGATGGAAGGACGGGGTATGGAAGGACAGACTATGGATGGAAGGACGGGGTATGGAAGGACAGACTATGGATGGAAGGACGGGGTATGGAAGGACAGACTATGGATGGAAGGACGGGGTATGGATGGACAGACTATGGATGGAAGGACGGGGTATGGAAGGACGGGGTATGGATGGACGGAGTATAGATGGAAGGACGGGGTATGGAAGGACAGACTATGGATGGAAGGATGGGGTATGGATGGAAGGATGGGGTATGGATGGAAGGATGGGGTATGGATGGAAGGATGGGGTATGGATGGAAGGACGGGGTATGGAAGGACAGAGTATGGATGGACGGAGTATAGATGGAAGGACGGGGTATGGAAGGACAGACTATGGATGGTTGGCCTGGTCACATGTCCCCTCACCTTGGTCATACCAGGGCAGGTAGGAGGGGCAAGGCTCTGCGTGGGTGGAGTTGGCCGTGGCGTCCCCCCCAGCACACGTACATGTCGAAGGTCCGGTTGCAGTACACTCCTGCCATCAAACAAGAACATCATCCATCAGATAGGAAGAGCCATAGACATGAGGTCTCCTGGTGTCACCCCCCTCCAGTACGGCCATCATACCCGGAGAACAGTCACCATAGAGACATAAATGGTAACAAGACAACTGATGAGCAATCAGAACCCGGGCTGAACGGTGGTTATGGGGGCTTCCACCCCACCTCTCCTTCCATCAGAATGGATTACACTTCTAGATATAATAGTGAGCAGAACCGACGTCTCACCACTCATTGGAGGATCCGATCGTATCCGGAGCTCACATTCCTCCTGATATCTCTTCCAGGCCTGGACCATCTCGTGTACCGTGTCCGGGTGGACGTCCTGCAACCAATACATGACTCAGTGTGAGGACTTGTATATCCCTACAGCTCATAATATTCTGTACACAAGGTCTGGCCCCCCCCCCTCGCCACGTTCCCGGGGTGCACTGATGACCTCCCGTGATACTCCTCCAGCTCTGGGCCGAGGATTAAACCTCAGGAAGTGAAACATAAATGCATGATCGCCACAAACCCACCGAATACCCAACCACACAGACATCCTAGAGACACACAGAGATACATGGAGACATCCTAGAGACACAGAGACATACTAGAGACACATATAGATACATAGCGACATCCTAGAGACACACAGAGATACATGGAGACATCCTAGAGAGACACCTAGAGATACATAGAGAAATCCTAGAGACACAAAGAGATACATAGAGACATCCTGAAGACACAAAGTGATACATGGAGACATCCTACAGATACATAGAGAAATCCTAGCGACACAGACATCCTAGAGACACATAAAGATACATAGAGACATCCTAGAGAGACAAAGATGCATCCTAGCAACACATAGAAATACATAGAGACATCCTAGAGACACACAGATGCATCCTTGAGACTCATAGAGACACATAGATACATGGAGATACATGGAGACATCCTAGAGATACATAGAGAAAATCCTAAAAACACAAATAAATACATAGAAACATCCTAGAGAAACATAGAGGCATCCTAGAGACACATAGAGACATCCTTGAGACTCATAGAGACACATAGATACATGAAGATACATGGAAACATCCTAGAGACACATAGAGAAACATAGAGACATTCTACAGACACATAGAGACATCCTAGAGACAAATAGAGACACATAGATAAACATAGAGACATCCTAGAGATACATAGAGACATCATAGAGACACAGAGAAACATAGAGACATCCTATAAAAACACATAGATATACATAGAAAAACAGAGACATCCTTGAGAAACATAGAGACATCCTAGAGACACAGAGATACATAAAGATACAGAGATACATGGAGACACAAAGATACATAGAGACACCATAGAGACATCCTAGCAAACAGAGATACATGGAGACATCCTGGAGACATATAGAGATACATAGAGACATCCTAGAAAGACATGGAGATGCATAAAGACACACAGAGACATCATATAGAGACAATAGAGACATCCTAGATACACATCACGATACATAGAGACATCCTAGAGACACATGAAGATACATAGAGACAATTATAAACAAAGAAAGATACATAGAGACATCATCCTAGAGATACATAGAGACATCCTAGAGACACATAAATATACATAGAAACATCCTAAAGAAAAAAACATAGAGATACATAGATATATATCCTAGAGACATAGAGATACATACAGATACAAAAAAATAAAGACATCCTAGAGACACATATAGATACATAAAGATACATAGAGACATCCTAGAGACAAATGGAGACACAGAGATACATAGAGACAAAACCTGGAGACACAGAGACATCCTAGAGATAAAAATAGAGACATCCTAGAGACACATGGAGATACATAGAGACAACCTAGAGACACAGAGATACATAGAGACATCCTAGAGACATCCTAAAGACAGATAGAGATACATAGAGACACATAGAGTGATATATTGAGACATCCTTGAGACACATAGAGATACACAGAGACAACCCAGAGACACATAGAGATACACAGAGACATCGTAGAGACACAGAGATACATAGAGACATAGAGACATCCTAGAGACACAGATACATAGAGAAATCCTAGAGACACATAAAGATACATGGGGACATCCTAGAGACACATAGAGTGACATGGAGACACACAGAGGAACATAGAGACATCCTAGAAACACAGAGATACATAGGGATACATAGAGACATCCTAGAGACACAGAGATACATAAGACATCCTAGAGACACAGAGATACATAGAGACGTCCTAGAGAAACATGGAGATACATAGAGACGTCCTAGAGACACATAGAGATACATAGAGATGTCCTAGAGACACAGAGATACATAGAGACGTCCTAGAGTCACAGAGATACATAGAGACATTCTAGAGACACACAGAGATACATAGAGACATCCTAGAGATACATAGAGACATCCTAGACACACATAGAGATACATAGAGAAATCCTAGACACACATAGAGACATCCTAGAGACAGAGATACATAGAGAAATCCTAGAGATACATAGAGACATCCTAGACACACATAGAGATACATAAGACATCCTAGACACACATAGAGATACATAGAGACATCCTAGAGACAGAGATACATAGAGACATCCTAAGACCCAGAGATACATAAGACGTCCTAGAGACCCAGAGATACATAGAGATGTCCTAGAGACACAGATACATAGAGACGTCCTAAGAGACACAGAGATACATAGAGACATCCTAGATTCACAGAGATACATAGAGACATCCTAGAGACACATAGAGATACATAGAGAGATCCTAGAGACACAGAGATACATAGAGAGATCTAGAGACACAGAGATACATAGAGACATCCTAGAGACACAGGGATACATAGAGACACAGAGACATCCTAGAGACACAGATACATAGAGAAATCCTAGAGACACATAAAGATACATGGAGATATCCTAGAGACATCCTAGACACACATAAAGATACATTGAGACACATAGAGACATCCTAAAGACAGATAGAGATACATAGAGACACATAGAGTGATATATTGAGACACATAGGGATACATAGAGACATCCTAGAGAACACATAGTGACCTCCTAGAGATACATAGAGAGATATATAGAGACATCCTAGAGATAAATATATAGAGACATCCTAGAGACACAGAGATACATAGAGACATCCTAGAGACACAGAGTGATATATTAGAGACATCCTAGAGACACAGAGATATCCTAAAACACAGAGATACATAAGAGGGATATACAGAGACATCCTAGAGACACATAGAGACACAGAGATACATAGAGACGTCCTAGAGACACAGAGATACATAGAGACATCCTAGAGAGAGGACACACAGAGATACATAGAGACATCCTAGACACAATAGAGATACAAATAGAGACATCCTAGCGACACAGGGATACATAGAGACATCCTAGAGACACATAGAGATAAATAGAGACATCCGAGAGATACATAGAGATACATAGAGGGATATATAGAGACATCCTAGAGACACATAGAGATACATAGAGACACAGAGATACATAGAGATGTCCTAGAGACACAGAGATACATAGAGACGTCCTAGAGACACAGATACATAGAGACAACCCTAGAGACACACAGAGATACATAGAGACATCCTAGAGATACATAAAGACATTTCCTAGACACACATAGAGAGATACATAGAGACATCCTAGCGACACAGAGATACATAGAGACATCCTAGAGAACACATAGATACATAGAGACATCCTATATTCACAGAGATACATAGAGACATCCTAGAGACACAGAGATACATAGAGACATCCTAGAGACACAGAGATACATAGAGAATCCTAGAGACACATATAGATACATAGAGAGATCCTAGAGAACAAAGAGATACATAGAGACATCCTAGAGAAACAGAGATACATCCTAGAGAGAGATACATAGAGACATCGAGATACATAGAGACATCCAAGAGACACAGATAGATACATCCTAGAGACACAGAGACATAGAGACATCCTACAGAGACACATAGAGTGATATATAGAGACATCCTAGAGACACATAGAAATAACCTAGAAACACACAGAGATACAGTTGTGTCCAAAATTATTCAACCCCCACTGAAATTGAGTGTTTTGGCCAGTTTGACATTGCTTTTGATCATTCAGTCATCTTGCTTACATTTACATTAAAGAGGCACTTGTAGGTCAGACAAATAAAAATAACAGTTATAATGAAATAACCACAAATGTCTTTTCTGTGCTCACAGCATTATCAGTTTTATTCAACCCCCAAGTGACATTCAATCTTAGTACTTAGTACAGCATCCTTTTACAGTTATAACAGCTTTTAAACGTGAAGCATAGCTTGACACAAGTGTCTTGCAGCGATCTACGGGTATCTTCGCCCATTCTTCATGGGCAAAGGCCTCCAGTTCAGTCACATTCTTAGGCTTGCGCACTGCAACTGCTTTCTTTAAGTCCCACCAGAGGTTCTCAATCGGATTTAAGTCTGGTGACTGCGATGGCCACTCCAAAATGTTCCAGCCTTTCCTCTGCAACCATGCTCTAGTGGACTTGGAGGTATGCTTGGGATCATTGTCCTGTTGAAAGGTCCAACGTCTCCCAAGCCTCAGGTGTGTGACGGACTGCATCACGTTTCCATCCAATATCTCCTGGTACTGAAGAGAATTCATGGTACCTTGCACACGCTGAAGCTTCCCTGTACCTGCAGAAGCAAAACAGCCCCAAAGCATGATTGACCCTCCACCATGCTTCACAGTAGGCAAGGTGTTCTTTTCATCATAGGCCTTGTTCTTCCTCCTCCAAACATAGCGTTGATCCATGGCCCAAACAGTTCTAATTTTGTTTTTCATCAGTCCACAGAACACTATCCCACAACTTTTGTGGTTTGTCCACATGGCTTTTGGC